TAAGGCTTTCTGATCTCGTGAAGATTTACAGCCTTGGAAACCATGTACAGGGTTGCTGTGAGTCTGAACCAACTCCACAGCACATAACAACAATAACAACAACAACAATGTAGTCTCAGCAGCTACTTTATTTATTTATGTACTTATTTTTGTGATTGTAATAAATATACCAATTGCACAGTGTTGTGCATTCAGTTTTCTACAAATTACAATTTATTGGCAGCAATGGTAAGAATCAGCTTTGCAACTCAATCATTAATCTACGTGATATTTCCATTACTGTTAGCTCCCCTTTTCCTCCACCTTTCCACTCCTTGTAATCACTAGTAAATTCTGGACTCTATGCATTTGTCTCTTTTTGTCAAAAGGATAGATACAAGAGTTGTCCTTTTGTGATTGAGTAATTTCAGAAGTCAGTAAATCAAATGAAGTATTGCATTAGGCAAATCTACGGAACAAGACCTCTATAACGTGTTCAAGAGCCAAGATGTTAGTTTGAGGACTAAGTTGCACCTGACCCAAGTCATGGTACTTTCAATAGCTTCATATTCATATAAAAGTTGGACAGTGAATAAGGAAGACTGTAGAAGAATTGAGGCATTTGAGTTATGACATAGGTGGAGATTATTACAGGTACCATGGAATGCCAGAAGAACAAACAATCTGTCCTGAAAGAATTCCAGCTAGTATGCTCCTCAGAAGTGAGGATGGTGAGACTTCATCTTTCATGCTTTGGACATACTATTAGCAGGGACCAACTCCTGGAGAAGGACATGATGCTTGGTAAAGTGGAGAGTCACCAAAAAAGAGGCAGACCCCAATGAGATAGATTGGCATAATGACAGCAACAATGGGCTCAAGCTTAATGATGATTGTGAGGATGGTGCCGGACCAGGCAGTGTTTTCTTCTTTTATGCATAAGGTCTCTATGAGTAGGAGTGACTTGACGGCACATAATAACAACAACAGCTTTACTCAGTGTAGTATTCCCAAGCTCCATTCATACAGTACTGTGTATCAAGACTTCATTTCTCCTATTGTTATTAGCTGCTGTGGAATCGGTTCTGACTCATCAAGCTGTTATGCACAATAGAACAAAACACTGCCGGATCTTCTGCTATCCTCACAATTGTTGAGTAGTAGTCCATTTTGTTTATCCATTCTTCTATTGATAGGCATTTAGGTTTCTATCTTTTGACTGTTGTGAATAATGTTGCAAGGAATGTTGATGAAAGTGCCTGTTTTAAGTATTCTGCCTTCCAGTCATTTGAATGTATGTAGATGAGTGGAAATGCTGGGTCCCATGATAGGTGTGTGTTTAGTTTTTTGAGGAATCACCACACTGTTTTGCACTGCAGGTATGGTGTGGCGCTATAGGATAAGCACTGGACTGCGAACCACAGCCACTCCTCAGAAACCCACCAGCCACTCTTCAGAAAACCATACAGGGTCGCTATGAGTTGGAAAGTTTTGATGTCATTTAACAACATTAACGTAACATTTTGCATTTCTTCCAGAAATGCATAAGGGTCCTGGTTTCCCCATATCCTTGACAATATTTGTTATTTTCTGTTTTTTTTTTTTAAATCAAAAATAAAAGTTTCATCTTAACCATTCTAGTGGGAGTGGAATTATTCTTCATGTGGTTTGAATTTCTATCTTTCTGATTGCTAGTGGTACTGGGAATCCTTCCATGTGTTAGGTGCCCTTTTTAATGTCCTCTTTGGTGAATTATCTTTTCAGCCTCAACTTATGATTCAGTTGTTGGTCTTTTTGTTGTTGTCACATTTTTAAGTATATTTCGGTTATTCGATTCTTGTTGGATATATGATTCTGAAGATCAACCCTCCCAGTAGATAGCTCATTATTTTTACTTTTTGGGGGTAAAGTCTTTGATGAACAATCATTTTTAATTTTTATAAAGTCCTATTTATTTATTTTCTTCCTAGGGTTCTCAGTGGCTGCTTTTTGGAAGGAGATCTCCAGATGTTTCTTCCAAAGTGCCTCTGGGAGGCTCGAACCTCCACCCGTCTGTGCAGCAGAGCATATTGATCATTTGAACCACACAAGGATTCCACCCCTGTTGTTGTTGTTGTTAAGAGCTGTCGAGTAGGTTCCAACTTTCAGAGACTCTCTATAGGATTTCTGAGGAGCAGCTGATGGTTTTGAACCACTGACCTTGTGGTTCACAATCCAGTGCTGATCCTAGAGCGCTACACCAGGAGTCCATCATTGCCCCTTCGACTAGGATGTTATACAGTGTTGACATTCTTTTATCTTTGGGTGTACATGACGGTGCTTGTTTCATTCTAGGGACATTCAGCAGAAATTATTTCCTTGTCGTTCAACACAGCAGGGAACAGAATCATCACTGGCTCTTTTGACCACACCGTCTCAGTGTGGGATGCAGAGACTGGGAGGTATGGATTTTTGAGTCTGAATCTGGCCATTAAGAAAAAAAAAAGCCTTTGTTATTTATTATGTTAATCTTATACTAACTGCTATTTTAGTTCTATGGCAATAGGGTCTTTTGCAAACAATTTATTATTGAAGGGATATTTCTTTCTTTCTTTTTTTCTACTTAACTTTTTTATTGTGATTTGGGTGAAAGTTTATAGAGCCAAGTGGTCCTCCATTCAACAGTTCATGCAGATTTGGATTCATGACATTGACTGCAATTCCCACAATGTAACAACACTCTTCCCACTTCCTCCCTGCCTTGACTGTCTCCATTCATCCTTGCTTCTGATCCCTTCTTGCCTCCTGAGCTTCATCCCTGGGCAATGCTTCCCTTGTCATCTCTCTGGGTGGTTGTTCTAAGCGTCCATTTCTCACTGACATTCACCACATAAATCTTTCTGTTGTTTAGTTGAAAGCTGGGGGTCAAGGGAATGAAGTTGGTTCCAGATTTAAAGGATATCTAAGACCATCATTTCAAGGGTTCCCCTAAGGGATATTTCTGATCCACAAAAATATATGTTTTGTTTTATGTGCCAGAGCCACGTAAAAGGAGACCACTACAAACAGCTTTGATTATTTGTTCTATGTGCTATATACTCAAATCCCAATGACCTGATAATTTCCCTAATTTAATTCCATCTCAGAGCTTCAATTTCCTTCCTAATGATTTTTGGTTCAAGTAGCTAAGAGGTTAACCAGATTAGTCTATTAGCGTTATAAAGCTCTCCTCTTGGGCTTGGTTCTGTTTTGATGGAGCTGCTAATCATCAGGGGTAATAATGATCAACGTGTATGCAGTGGGAAAGGAGAGAAAAGCCAGGTCCTGCGAGACAGTGGAAGGGTAATTCCTGGACAACCAGAGATCCACTCATTGGGTGTAAGAATCCTTCCAGAATTTCATAATGCCTTTGTTATTTTTTTCACCCATTCCTTTCTGAAGGGTTAAGTCTTAAATGCTATCTTACCACCTTTCATGGTTTAGAATTCTAAATGCAATTTTTGTTGAAAATAGAATGAGTACCTGAGTTGACTCATGTTGAATGGTGTCAGTAGAACCCTTATGGTTTTGCCATCGGATGATTATTTTGTATAAACCAAGATTTCGATGATCTTCCATCGACAAACTTGACTTTGTTATTTATGTGCATAGATCTGTGAAGCCGACTATCTTTTAACTTTTTCTATTTTGCAGGAAGGTGTATACCTTAATTGGCCACTGCGCTGAGATTAGCAGTGCTCTGTTCAACTGGGACTGCAGTTTAATATTAACTGGCTCCATGGACAAAACCTGCATGGTGAGCTCAAGGGATCCCTCCCCATTCTAGTTCTTGTATCCACCCCTATTGTTGTGACAACTGGTAAGTTAAAAATAGCATCAAGTTTTATAATTGTGAGTTGGGTATATCTGGGTATCTATCACCTTTTTTCTTTGCCAGAATATTCATTGTAACATTCATACATTTCAAAGGTGCTATAAAATCAAAATATTCATTTAGAAATAATAATTGGTCACTCATTGTTTTAATTCCAAATTTCTGAGTCCCCAAATTGGAAGGAATTACGATGTGGTAAGCCACTCTTCGGAGACCCTATACAGGGGCTGCAATGGGTCAGAACTGACTCACTGGCACTTAACAACAAGAACAAAGTAATTTTGGAGTCCTGACATGGCACTGTAGGACAAGCACTAGACTGTTAACTGAAAGGTTGGTGGTTCAAACCTTTTAGTTTAGGGTTTAGTTTAGAGTTTAGGGTTTAGTTCTATACAGAACTAATTTGATAGCACTTAACAATAGCAAAGTAATTTTAATTGACTCAAGTTTATTTAATGGTCTTATTTCAAACGTTTCCTTGGTAAATTTTGATTAGTGTGAGCCTCAAGGCATCTCCTCACCTACCTCTTAATTTTCTGCACTCTTACAATATGGTGACTAAGCACTTGTGCTCTGAAATTGTTACAGGTATACCTCGAGTGAGTGCATTTCCCTTTACTGTACTTGCATGTTACTTCGATTTTCACAAATGAAAGCTCTGTGACCACCCTGCATTGAGCAATTTTTCTAACACTTTGTGTCTCTGTGTCACATTTTGGTCTTTTTCACAATCTTTCGAACTTTTCCCGAATGCTCTTGCACACTCACTAGACTACATTAGAGTGTAAACTTGCCTTTTGTATGCATCAGGAAACCAAAACACGTCTGACACTCACCTTTTTGTGGTGATTGCTTTATTGCGGTGGTCTGTATCTGAACCCTGCAGTGTCTCCAGGGTCTGCCTGGATTTGATTATGTATCAAATGTCTTGTAATCTTATAATGTATTTTCCATTCCCTGGAGTTGTGGTTTTAGATCAAGCCATGATCATGATATTCTTTCTACAAAAAGAGACCACCTGCCTGCCAATCAGTAAAGCATGCACTTTGCAATTGTATTCCTAACGAGATGGCAGATTTGCACGGATCCATTCATATACGTGATATGGTTTTCTGTCTGACTAAAATGTGTTTTGCCAGATGGCTTTCTGTAGTCTCTGGCCCCACGTTAAGGAAAAACCAAAGACAACTGGTGTGGCACTGCAGGGAAGCACTGGACTGCTAAACACATGATCAGTGGTTCAAACCCACCAGCCATTCCTTGGGAACCCTGTATAGGGTAGCTATGAGTCAGAACCGACTCAACAGCACGTGACAGCAACAGACACACACAAAAAATGAACACGTGATTTTGCCAAAGTTACTTAACTGGTCATAAGACTGTCATAAAGACAGCTTGTTGTCACATTTGCTCATTGGGAAGGAAATACTAATCTTTTTGTTTTTAAATTGCAGCTGTGGGATACTGCAGATGGAAAATGTGTGGCAACATTAACAGGCCATGATGATGAAATTCTGGATAGCTGTTTTGATTTCACTGGGAAGTTTATTGCAACGGCATCAGCTGATGGTAGGTAACCAATTCATACATTTATTTTATGGAGAGAAGTATGCCTTGCTTGGTAAAACATGTGTAATTTTACTTTGACACCAGCTATGACAGCGCCCATATTTGCCTCATTTCCACGATGACCACATACAAGGATAAGTCCAAAAGCATTGCTGTAAAATCATAGAAACCTTTATTAAACAAAAAAATAGTTAAAAAAATGTGAAGATCTTGTTTCTCCATTTATTTGCCATCTAGGTTCCATATACTTCTTTCTGCAAAGAATCATAGCCTCAGAAATGCTATACAAGGTCGCTATGAGTTGGAACCAACTCAACAGCAGTTAACAACAACAACAAATCTCCCTCAAAGAATTCTGCAGGCTTTAATTTACACCACATCAAAACTCTCATTCTGATGTCCTTGAGGCACTCAAATTGTGTTCCTCTTAAAGTTTCTTTAAAGTTAAGGAGCAAAAAGAAGTCTGAAGGGGCAACTTTAGGGCTGTAAGGTGGGTTGGGTAAAGTTTCCAAACAAAATTCTCACAGGACAATCCTTGCTGCTTTCAGAGAATGAGCAGGGGCATTGTTGTAATGGAAACATCCTCTGTGCAATTTTCCTCACCTTTTTCTCACCAATGCAGTTTTCTGTTTTCTCAAAAATTCTTCCTAATATTTCCCTATACTTTTTTGTGTCCTTGGAGAAATTCTATCAAGATTAGCCCCTTTGTAGTTCCCCCAAACAGTCATAATAACCTTCTGAGTTGACCTCTCTGCCTTGAATTTGACTGACCCAACAGATCCCCTTGGAAGCTACTTTTTGATGGGATCTTGTCCTCGGAATCTTGTCGATAAATAAGGACTCATCCCTGATTATGTTTCATTCCATAAAATCATCTGTATTTGCCCCAATCTTGCATGTTTTAAACCATGATAGAAAGATCAGCTACTTGAACATCCATCGAGCCAAAAGTTTGCTGAGGTCTAGATGTTGGCTTAAACTTGAAAATGCCACACCATGTGAGAGTCCAACTTCAGTAGCTACCCTTACATCAATGGTGATTCTGCAGTTGAGTTCCACCAATTTCTGAGCTCCAGTCAGTTTCAGCATACGTCGAGTCTATCTTAGCTCATCCATGAAGTTTCCCAACCTTCCTTAGAACTCTTGCTCCATCTAAAAGAATTTTTTTTTTCACTTCCCCATGCGATATATTTAGGCACTTTGTCGAAAATCAGTTGGCTGTATGTGGATGGGTTAATTTTTGGATTCTCAATTCAGTTCCATTGATCAATGTGTCTTTCATTGTACCAGTACCAGGCTGTTTTGACCACTGTAGTTAAACATCTTTTGTATAGGATAAACCCATGCATGTACAGGAATTAGAACACTAGTAGCAATACCTTTTGGACTGACCCTCTTGCTGTCTCTTTAAGAACCATATATGATGATTCGTTGTATCTGTGCTATGCCCCTGAGAAGCATTTAGGATGCTACACTCTGTCTGCATCCTACTTCTGCCAAACATGCCCAACACTGTACAGTTTCTGCATCTTCTCCCTGACAATGCTGGATGACGCTACATCATGTCCTTGATAACCATGCTGGGTACCATACTGTGTGTGCATCATCTCCTTGACAACATCTGTGATGCTTCATCTCATCTACAAGCCTGTGGGATGCTGTAGTAAGTCTACTATGTCATGCTATTCTCTTAGGCATCACCGCAGTATGATGCTGCCCTCTGCCTGCAACATCTCTTATGCCTAAAGGCAGCTGATGTTTAATACTGTGTCTACGTCATTCATCTAATTCTCATGTATGAAACCACATTAAGTCCAACTCATCCCTCTGGTGACGCTACACTGTGTCTGCATCCTATCCCTGACAACTGTGTTTTAAGTTGAGCTGTCTTTGTCATTCCCTTTAAAACCACTTAATGATGTTACACTATTTGTTGTTCTTAGGTGCTGTCAAGTTGGTTCTGACTCATAATGACACTGTGTAAAACAGAATGAAACACTGCTTGGTCCCATCCCCCACTTTCCTCATAATCATTGTGATTTGAGTCCATTGTTGCAGCCACACTAAAAACCGTGTTATACCATATCTTTACCTAATTATTTAAAACCATATGTAATATACCATATATGTGCCATTTCCTAGAAATCCATGTATGATGATAGAATAGTTGTATTTCATCACCCATGTATGACCTACATCATTTGTGTCTACATCACTTGCTTTATGAAAAGGTACGATTCTACATTGTGTCTGGATCATCACTTTGATCTATGCTTCCTTCTGACTATACTACATACACATCATCTTTATGAGTACCAGATTGTTGTTAGGTGCCATTGAGTAGGTACCGACTCATAGCGACACTATGCACAGCAGAATGAAACACTGCCAACCTCACTATCATTGCCACACTTGAACCCATTGATGCTGCCACTTTGCCAATCAATTTTTCTGGGAGTCTTCCTCTTTTTCTCTGACCCTCCACCCTACCAAACATGTTATCCTTCTCCGGCGACTGGTCCCTCTTGACAATATGTCT